TATGATGGTAAATATAGTTCTATGTTACATTACGTAATATATACTAATATGTAGTAATACATTAACACATATCTGTAGTTAACATATTACATACAATGTACTGTATAATGTATAATATATAAATTATATGACTGTAAATGTAGTTGTATGTTACATTACGTAATAATGTGTAATTACAGACACTGTATGTTGTATGCTATAGCACACGTCCGTCTGCCAGACAGCCTCAGGCTCAGCCCTGTGGGGGCAGGTATGGGCCTCCTCCCTTCCCAAGGCTGGCTGGGACCCCACATGTGAGGGTGGGCAGGCCTCACGCGTCCCCGCCCCCAGCGCCCCGAGACTCACATGGGCTCCCCGCTGTGGATGTATTCCCAGAGCAGGTCCTCCGACAGCTCCGAGAACTTCACCATCGTTTCCTCGTAGAATTGCAAGACCCTGGTGTCCAGCTCCTTGTCTGCAAGCACAGGGCCGTGGCGTGAGTGTGGGTGCCAGCTTGTCACCTGCAGGGCCTGACACCCGCAGGGCTGTGGTGTGCTGTTTATCTGAGCGCAGCGCACAATTCAGGTGTGGATATTCACGGTGGAAAAGCTATTATTTTAGACAAGAAAAGAGTAGGAAGCAGAAACGTTCCTTTTTAAACTTTCCTTTCTTGTTAAAGAATAACTGTGCTAACTCTATGTGAGGCCCCCTCCTATGTAGCTGTTAGACACGCCGTGCTCACGGGCACGTAGTACATTCTATGTCCTTGTACTTAACCGAGATACCTGTGCTGGACGTGCTCACAGGCGTGTCCCAGCTCTCCGTGGCTGTCACCCGTTCAGAAAAGTTTTAAGTTGTCAGCCTGTTGGGTTTTAGTTCAGATGGTGAGGTCTGGCTCCAGCCCACGGAGCTCAGACACGGCAGGAAGGACGACCCCACACGCGTCAGGGATACATGTGTGTGTTTTCCTTTGTTCATTGTACTCTCGTGGCTCGATGGCCCGTGAGGGTCCCCTCCCTGCAGCCCTGGAGGTAAAAACTGCATTGCTGAGAGATCCTCTGCCTCAGCGCTGATTTTGCTTTGCGGCACTGAGCCTCTGTTTCCAACAAAAGGAGGGCAATGACAGAACAAAAAGAAGCCAAAAAAATCACAGCGCTTAGGAAGGGGCCGAGTGCGGCCCTCACGCTAGCGGGGAGGGCACCGGTCTTCTGTGAAGCCTTGGCGTGAAAGTTTTGGGGTCAACATGAGGACTTCAGCAGTGGGGTGGAAACGCCACAAGCATAGCATGAGGGGAGCTCGGGGGACCTGCGGGAGACTTCCCCGATCACCTGGCCTGGGTCCAAGGGGCTCCCCCAAAATCCATGTCCACCTGGAAACTGGGAATGGGATCTTGTTTTGAAATAGGAACTTTGCGGATGCAATGAGGGAACGAACCTTAAAGTGAAATTATCTTGGGTTCAGTGTCGGTCCTAAAGCCAGTGACAAGTGTCCCTAACAGACGAGACACAGACACAGAGAAGGAGGCCACGTGGAGACAGAGGAGGCGGAGGCTGCAGTGATTGGGCCACAAGCCCAGGGATGCTGGAGACCCCAGGAGCTGGGACAGGCCGGAAGGCGCCTCCCCTGTAGCCTCCAGAGGGAACTGGATACTAAAATGTTCATAAATATCAAAGAAAACAAAAATGAACTGCATGGAGTAAACGAATAAAAGTCTGAAGTAATGTTTTAACTTTTTACTTAAAACGTTCCTGACCCTTTGTCTTGTTTTCAAGAAAACTTTTTTTTTTTTTTGACAGAGTCTTGCTCTGTCGCCCAGGCTGGAGTGCAACTCCTGGGTTCAACCGATTCTCGTGCCTCAGCCTCCCCAGTAGCTGCGACTAAAGGCGTGTGCCACCACGCCTGGCTAATTTTTGTATTTTTAGTAGACACGGGGTTTCATCATATTGGCCAGGCTGGTCTGGAATTCCTGACCTGAGGCGATCCACCCGCCTCGGCCTCCCAAAGTGCTGAGATTACAGGCGTGAGTCACCGTGCCTGACCTAAAACTTTCGTTTTAAGGTATTAAAATCCCAGGTACTCAGGAGGGTGAGACGGGAGAATGTCTTGAACCCAGGAGCCGGAGGCTGCACTGAACCAAGACTGCAGCACTTCACTCCAGCCTGGGTGACCGCGTGAAACGCCATCCCTGCAAAATGAATGAATGAATGAACTCACTGAGACCTGTCGGCAATAGGCTCTCTGTGTTTCTGTGCCCTTATTTCACTCAGGGTAATTTGGTGAATTTTACATAGGTACTTTCGTGTCTCATGCTGGGACGTCACACACCGTGGAAAGCAAAGATAAAGGTTCAAGGCCCGTCGCAGACAAGGGAATCTGAAAGGAACCTAAAAAAGGAGTTCAGGGGCCGGGCGCGGAGGCTCACGCCTGTCATCCCAGCACTTTGGGAGGCCGAGGCGGGCGGATCACCTGAGGTCGGGGGTTCGAGACCAGCCTGGCCAATGTGGAGAAACCCTGTCTCTAGTAAAAACACAAAATTAGCTGGGCGTGGTGGTGGGCGCCTGTCATCCCAGCTACTCGGGAGGCTGAGGCAGGAGAATCACTTGAACCCGGGAGGCGGAGGTTGCAGTGAGCTGAGGTTGCACCACAGCACTCCAGCCTGGGCTACAAGAGTGAGACTCTGTCCCCCACTCCCCCTCCCAAAGCCAAAGAAACAAACATCAGGCCGGACGCGGTGGGTCACGTCTATGATCCCAGCACTTTGGGAGGCCGAGGCGGGTGGATCATGAGGTCAAGAGATCGAGACCATCCTGGTGAACACCGTGAAACCCCGTCTCTACTAAAAAATAAAAATTAGCTGGGCTTGGTGGTCACCCCCTTCCCCCTCCAAAAACCAAAGACTCAAACACGGAAAGGAGTTATGCCATGAGTCCCATGATGGGCAGCGGGCTGGGAAGGGGTGTCTGTACCCCTCCCTTTTGAGCTGAGAACCAGCTGAGAGGCATTAAGGTTAAAGCTCAGATCACGAGACGGAGAGAAGGTCTCTCTGTGGTCATAAGACGCCGCAGGCCGACAGGACTCCGCTGTGGCGTCACCAGACACGCCAGGCCCTGCAGCAATCACACGGTATTTTCCACCACGTGCTTGGAAATCATCCTGCAAAGCCCTCTCCTGGCGGAGGGACTCGATTCTGCAGAGACGTTCCTTCCACTTCTAGGTCTTTTCTTTCTGTTTTTGAGACAGAGTCTTGTTCTTGTGGCCCAGGCTGCAGTGCAGTGGTGCGATCTCGGCTCACTGCAGCCTCCGCCTCCCGGGTTCAAACGACTCTCCTGCCTCAGCCTGCCAGGCAGCTGGGATGACAGGCGCCCACCACTGCGCCCGACTAATTTTTGTATTTTTAGTGGAGACAGGGTTCCAACATGTTTCCCGGTATAGTCTTGAACTCCTGACCTCGTGATCCCCCCGCCTCGGCCTCCCTAAGTGCTGGGATTACAGGCGTGAGCCACCGCGCCCGGCCTCCTCTGCGTGTTTATAAGACAAATCGCACATTTTCCTGTCCCCTGCACTCTTCCAAATCAGCAAACAACTTTCGCAGGCACACCATAAACTGAGGCCCTCTGGGGGTGGGGGTGGGCATCCACCGTCCTCCCTCAAGGCCAGGGTCCCTCCAAGGTCCCAGGTCCTTCCCTCGGCCTGTGTGGACACCCCGACCCCCGGGCCGCGGTTACCTTGGCTGGAGCACTGGACGATGGCCACGCCTGTGAACACGCTGTGTTCTCTGCCACTCAACCTGTGAGACAGAAGCGGTGCCCTAGCTGTGACACGTGGCAGTCATGGCACGGGTTTCCCAAAACCAGAGAGGCAGCGAGGTGGCCTCCGTCCCGGCCCCGGCCCCAGCCTCTTCTCCCCTATCAGCCCGCCATGGTGTCTCCCGAGAAACTACTGAGAAACGCTGGGAGCATGAAAAAATACATTGAACGGTAAGAGCAATGATGGCAAGGAAAACCTGGCCACCCCAACCCGCAAGCGGAAAACGGCTTGCCGCATTCTCCAGTAGCAAAACAATCTATTTTATCACTCAGCATCTCTCAACAGCAAACCTTTACGGACAGGCCGGGGAACGGGTCACAAATCCCACGGGCAGCGGCCCTGAGAGGAGCCCCAGGCCAGGCAGCTCTCCGCTGGGCCTGCTGTCCCAGGGTGTCCTCCATGTCCTGGGATGGGAGTGGAGGACAGGCTGTGGGCTCAGGTCCAGGACGCCCTGTGGGAAGAACAGGGCACTGCCCACTTCTCCTGACCACAGCAGCCTGCAGTGGGCACCACACACTCTGGGATCGGGGCTGAGAATCCCAGGAAAC